GCAATTGGAACAAATTCTAGATCCAATGATAAAAAAATTATCACTTTAATGGATAATTTACATAAAAAACGAAGCCAACGGACACCAAACTTTCAACATTTTTCAGGTGAAAAATTATATCAATCAAATATAATTAATTATAATTCCCAGTAAAATAATTTTTAGACAATTTAATTTCCCGTAAAACATTTTATTTTCATCTATTTTTTACATTTACAACCAAACGGTCCGTAACAGTAAAATGATCAAATCAAATAATGAAGATTTGAGTAAAAAGGATGATAGCTGGCTATGGACTGTGAATCTGCATTTGTATCTGAATGCTGATAGAAAAGAAAGTGAGAGAAAGGAATAATGACAAAAGGCTTTTCACACACATCACATCCTTATTGTGTGTTGAAAAAGTAAAAAAGACTCGTTTCGGTGTTGTCATCAATTCATACGGACATCAATTTTCTGTTGGCTTTATAAAATGGGTATTTTTTTTCCCTCTACGCCACGCTCTTCTGCGCACGTGGAGTCCTGCGCCCAATTTTACTTTCACCTAAATTTTTGATTGGAAATTCACTATTTTATTAAAGGTGAAACCTCAGCTTTAAGGGTCTCTTATCTCCCCGTCTCTAGGCATTGTGAAGGAGATAAATTGTGAGATGTGTCTTAACAAGTCAGGGCACAAGAACTGCTATACTGATACCCACAAATAGTCCAATTCCATACATTGGAAGACACTATGACTGTCAGTTCAATTGGGATTACCTCACTCTTGTCATTTGAACCACTGATCTATGCCCTAGGGGGCATTCACTCTATTATTTATCTTTTTATGGGTGGAGGGAAGGAAGAAGTTCAATTATAAAAACAATAATCCTTACTTCATGACTCAAACTCGAAACTCTGTTTGTCACTTCAAAATGCTCTTTCTTATAAAACAATTAGATCCTAATGATCAAGATGGAGAATCTTGTGTTTGGCCAGATGATATCTAGCGTTAATAGATTTATAAGGCTTCAAACTCAATGAATTGAAACACGAGAGTAGTTAAAGGAAGGAAATCCATGAAGACCATATTAGTAGCAACGATGGAGAGCAAATTGGGGGTTTGAAGATAAACTTTCGAGTTACCTAGATCAGCAAAGATAGCATCGTTTGTTGCTGCTAACCAATAGCCTCTCCATGCTAATTCACATCCCGAGCATCACTCCATATCACGATCAAGAATTAGTTTTAGAATTCAACTTGTTAGTTTTCACGCTCAATAGCTTGACTCAATTTGTTATTTACATCGGATGTGTTGAAGGAATTTTTTTCACATTGTTTAGATATAAAAACACTGTCAAATATACAAGTGTATTAAGTTAATTCTCTTAGAAAAATTTATAATTTAAAATGAAATTAACTATCCATATAATGTAAAAGTAAGTTAATTCTCTTAGAAAAATTGACCATTTAAAATGAAATTAACTATCCATATAATGTCAAAGTTCAGAGTGTTCAAGCAAATCGTTAATTCTATTTAAAAATTCAAACGAGCCGTTATACTCCAAATTGAGTTTGAGTAGTTAATTCTTTAAGTTAATGGGAAGATAAATACAGACCATTGTTTGACAACCATTAAAATAAAATTATTTTTTTTTTCAAACTTATTTTCAATTTCATATATTCTCATGATAAAATATTTTATACGTAAATTAAAAAAAATTCCCACTTTGTAACGATGCATTATGAAATGATCATTATTTAAAAACTCAATTTTTTTCCAAAATACTCTTTCTAATAATTGTCAAATAAGAGCTAAATGAATAAATTGTCTCACTTAGGGGTTGTTTGAACCTCTTTTTTTTTTTTTCGAAATTCATCTTCAACTCTATATCTTTTAATAAAATAATATTACACATAAATCGAAATTTTTTAAAATTTTTTTAACTATACATTCTCAAAAAAATTCCTATTTAAAAATACATTAATAAAATCCTTTTTTTTTTTCAAACTTATTTTCAATTTCATATATTCTCATGATAAAATATTTTATACGTAAATTAAAAAAAATTCCCACTTTTTAACGAATGCATTATGAAATGATCATTATTCAAAAACTCAATTTTTTTCCAAAATACTCTTTCTAATAATTGTCAAATAAGAGCTAAATGAATAAATTGTCTCACTTAGGGGTTCTTTGAACCTCTTTTTTTTTAATTAATTTTTTCGAAATTCGTCTTCAACCCTATATCTTTTAATAAAATAATATTACACATAAATCGAAATTTTTAAAAATTTTTTTAACTATACATTCTCAAAAAATTCCTATTTAAAAATACATTTTCCTTCCTTTTAAAGTGGTGCTCAGGCTGAAATAGTAAAATATGTTTTATGTATGGATTCTTGACATTCTTAAATCGACGCCGTACTATTAGTGCCCTTTGTGGATTGCAAAGTATATCTGTCCTACGATGTTGCCTTTTCTTTTCCATTTCACCTTTTTTTGTGGGGCCCTTCAAAAGTTTTCACCATTCAATTCAATATTCAAAAATTTAATGCTTTTTCTTCCCACTTGGAATAATTTAGTTGACCATGTTAAAAGTTAGTTAGTTGGCTAATCTCTTTCAAACTTGTATGTTCTTAAAACAAATTGCACCTAAAATAGCTATTTGTTTCGGATTAAAATCTGATTTTAATTTAAATCGAAATCAAACAATCAATATTAACATCTTTTAGAGTCCCGTAACTTTTCAACCACAAATTTCAAAAATTTATTTCACAATTTACTAAAAATCTAATTTTACACGTAAAGCGAAAATCTTTCTTTAATATTTAACACACATTCTTTTAAAAATTACTATTCAAAAATACATTTTTCTCTAAAATTTGGACTAAAAAACAAGCCTATAGTCTTTCGTTGAAAATGAATGACAAGTTATCCTTTCAATATGACCCTATGCCGTTGTTTAGTGAATTTTAATATAAATCAAAGTCAATAGTTACTTTTAATCATATATTTAATCAATTTTTTTTACCAAAAAAATATTAAAAAATTGATTTTAATCTCCATTAAACAAGAGTTATGCGGGTTGCATGAACATTAATATCTAAATAGACATTTTTTGTTCGTTCTTGAATGTCATTATTTAAAAATTTCAATAATATATTTCCATCTAAAATAATTTTATACGTAAATTCAAAAAAAATTATTATTTTTTAACCATACGTTCTTCAAAAAATCACTATTACAAAATTTATTAAGCCCATAATTCTACGAAAAATGAAGTACACGATTGTCATATTTGAGAAAGACTGGGACCCATAGAGGAATTTATCCTAAATTTTTACCACGCCTTTTTGGAGGATTTTGGGAGTAAATAGTTTGGAGAATAATTCTTGTCTGACGGGCCCGGTTCCCCATAATTTTGACAGGAGGCGTCAATTGTGGACCGCTCCTTCCTTTTTGTGCTATGCGAGAATCACGGGTTCACAGTTTCACACTCAACCCAATTCAACATTTGCTGATAAACCCTCAATAATTTGTAAAAAATAATTCGATTTTAAAATTCTTCACCTCAAAAATTACGAAGAGTCCCAATATGCAAG